TTGTGTGTATCCATTTGTTGGTGCTTTATCATGTGAATAATGGAAAAGATGTCATTTCCTGGCCTTACCAACATATCCTCTGGTTTTCCCAGTCTCAGGTAAAAGGAATCTGCTAATTTGGATCGGAAGCATTCTCCTTTTTGTTGCCATTGGTTGTGTAGTGTTGTGTATATATAAGAGACAATGGGGCCGGGAATGGGGCCTATCAACCCTGCACTTTGAGACTGAGACACGAGGATCGCTTGAAGCCACAGTGAAATGAGGTTGCTTCATCACACTCCGACATCATTGAAAAAGCAAGACTCTGCCTCTAAAACTAAAAAGATAGCCGGGCTCCGTGGCTCAGCCTGTAATCCCACCATTTTGGGAGGTCCAGGCGAGTGAATTGCCTGAGCCCGTGGGTTCGAAGCCCGCCTGGCCAACTTGGCGAGATCTCGTATCTACAATAAATCAAAAAATAACTAGCTGGGCGTGGTAGCACGCACCTGTAGTTCCAGCTACCTGGAAGGCTGAGACAGAAGGATCGCTGGAGCCCAGCAGGTCAAGGCTGCGGTGGCTGGGAGCGTGCCACTGCACTCCAGTCTGGGCGAATGAGTGAGACTCCAACTCAAATAAATACATAAATAAATAAATAAATAAAAATTTAAAAAAAAGATAGTTGGGTGTACAGATAGGTAGGTAGAAAATAAATTGTAAAAGTAAATAAAGAAAATGGTGCCAGGTTATCTGCTCACCCCTTAATCACTGCAGTTTGGGAGGCTGAGGCTGGAGGATCGCTTGAGGTGGGGGTTCGAGACCGGTCTAGGCAACATAGCAAGATCCTGACTCTATATTAATTAATTTAAAAAAATTTTAGGCCAGGCACGGTGGCTCATGCCTATAATCTTAGCACTTTAGGAGGCCAAGGTGAGAGGAGCCCAGGAGGTCGAGACTAGCCTGGAGCAACATGAGGAGACCTTGTTTCTATAATAAATCAAAAAATCAACTGGGTGTGGTAGCGTGCGCCTGTAATTCCGGCTACTTGGAAGGTTGAGGCGGAAGGAACAGCCGAGCTCAGCGGGTCGACACTGGGGTGGTATGAGCGTGCCACTGCACTCCAGTCTGGGTGACTGAGACTCCAACTCGAAAAAAAAATTGTGTATTTATTCCTACATGTTTAAAAACTTCAGTCACCTGGCCAGACTCGATGGCTCAACTGGCCATCCCAGCACTTTGGGAGTCTGAGGCAAGTGGATTGCCTGAGTCCAGGGTTCAAGACCAGCCCGGGCAACTTGGTGAGACTGCGTCTCTATAATAAATAAATTTTTAAAAATAGCTAGGCATGGTAGTACATGCCTGTAGTTCGCTAGGGTGCCATGAGTGTGCCACTGCCCTCCTGCCTGGGTGACGCAGTGAGACTGCGACAAAAAAAAAAACCCCAAAATTTCAGTCCCCTTCAAAGTCCTCTCCGTGTGATGCAATACACCCATCGAGAGGTTTTTCTTTCTGCCCCAAACAGGTTTGGAGTCATCCATGTTGATGCCATTGAGTGCTTCTGCTGTTTTTGGTTTCACCTCTCCCACATGGGCTAAACCTTTTTCCCTTAGAAGACTTTTTCAACAGGGAAACCAAAAAAAAGTTCCTGGGGGAGAGATCAGATGAATATGGAGGGTGAGACACAGGGGGCATACCATTTGAGGTCAAAACCTGCTGAGGCCGGGCTCGGTGGCTCAGCCTGTTACACTCACCCAGCACTTTGGAAGGCTGAGGCGAGTGGATGGCTTGAGCCCACAGGTTCAAGAACAGCCTGGGCAACTTGGTGAGACCTCATCTCTACAAGAAATCAAAAAATTAGCCGGGCGTGGTGGCGCGTGACTGTAGTTCTAGCTACTTGTAAGACTGAGGTGGAAGGATTGCTGGAGCAAAGCAGGTCGAGGCTGCGGTGGCCAGAGCATGCCTCTGCCCTCCATCCTGGGCAACAGAGTGAGACTCCACCTCAAAAAAAACAAACAAAAAATTAAGCCTACTGAACATTCAGCGGGGTTGCAGGCAGGTGTGCTCATAAATCCCCAGTCGTGAAATGGGCAAACCCATTGAAAGAACCTCCAAAAACACTCATGCCTGTCATCCCAGCACTTTGCGAGGCTAAGGCGAGAGGATTTCCTGCGCCCAGGGGTTCGAGACCAGCCTGGGCAACTTGGTGAGTCCTCCTCTCTACAATAAGTCAAAAAATTAGCCAGGCGTGGTGGCCCATGCCTCTGGTTCCAGTTACTTGGAAGGCAGAGGTGGAGAGAACACCGGAGCCCAGCAAGTCGAGTCTGCAGGGGCCGTGAGCCTGCCACTGCACTCCAGGCTGCATGTGAGAGTAAGACTCTGACTCAACAATAAAAACAAAAATGAAAAGAGGGGAGGTCAGTTCTGCAGGTAGGCGAGGATGCTTTCCTGCCCAAGAGCTGCCCGTGGCCCATGGCTGAGATGGGCTTGTGCTAGGTGGGGAGCGAGTCCTTGGAGCTCCTGCCCTCGAATCTGAATCGTAGGGAGGGTGTGATATTCCCATGGCCTACGACAGGGTATGGTGCAGACTACACGCTCCATAGCTATGCGTGAGCAGGTAGACACACAGGCGACCCGCCGGCCACTCGCAGCAGTAGAGGACGCTAGGCTGTGCCAGGTACTGGGCTAGAATCAGGGCTTTCGGACTGCTCCCCGGGTCTTCCCCCAGAGGATGGGACTGGCCTTAGCCTAGCTCTCCCCCTTCTAACCCAGGATTGGCGGGCTGAGCCACCGAGCCCGGCTATATTTCATCTTTACATAGTAGCATTCTGTTTCTTTTTTTTGAGTTGGAGTCTCACTCTGTCGCCCAGGCTGGAATGCAGGGGCATGCTCACGGCTTCCACAGCTTTGACCTGCTGGCCTTAGGTGATCTGCCTCAGCCTTCCAAGTAGCTGGAACTGTAGACACATGCCGCCACACCTGGTTAGATTTTTTGGGGTTTTTTTGTTTTTTGTTTTTGAGTTGGAGTCTCACTCTGTCGCCCAGACTGGAGTGCAGTGGC